AATATCAGAGTGTTGGAGATGCTGAATACGAGTACAGTGGTTATAAAAAGCATAAAGATAGGAAAACTGGAATACTTTGGACATCTTATGAGACAGGAGAAGAAGCTATTGCAGAACATCATGCAAGGCAAAATAGAAGGGAGACACTCAGCTGGAAGAAGAAGGAAATACCAACACACTGTTTAGAAGAGCCGTGAACAAAATACAAGTGTCATTGATAGTAGCCAACCAGTAAGAAGAAAAAGAATAAAACCTGTACAAAAACTTAAAACTAAATCACTAGATATAGTTCATATCAAATAAAATTTTAGTCACATGATTAAGCTTGACAAGCGTAGCGTTTCCCACTTTTACATATTTTCTTTTCATCAAAATATTTTAGGAAACAAAAATAAATTAATTATAAATATGTAAACAGTTATTATTTATATCAACAAAACTCACTTCTTAACAGCACTTAGGGAACATAAATGGCCGTTACTACCGTTTTCCCGTTCAAAATATTCTAATAAAGTTACGATGAGTTTTTACGGCTATGAAGCTATCTTGTACCACTTCGCACTTCTAAAAAGAACAAAGTTCGACTGCAAGGTCTGCTAGTAAAAATGTTTAAGCTTAAAGTTTCACAACATAATGCATTTAAACGAAAAACTCGTAATTCAAAAATGTCAAAACGTATGACAGTGACAAGAAAAAAAAAATAAATATGTGGCAACTTGGCATTTTTTACAGCAGTCTATGTGTGTAGTGTCTTGATTTTAAATTAAGTGTCTCAAGGCTCTGATCGTAATATACGTTTACTATACGTTTTATAAGAATTGATGATAATTTTGGCGATGTCATTTACTTAGCCCGTACTCTTGTTTATTTTTTAATGGCGCTTACTGCCAGTTGATCTTAAGAAGGTTGTAATTTATTTTTATTGAGTAAAAATTATTTTTAAATGGTGTTCTTACTGTCTCTCTCACTGTCTCCAAAATTTACCAGATTATATGGAGTTGCCGACAAGCACTTTAGCAGACGGTTCTTAATATGAGACTTGGCTGATATCTTCCGACATTTTCCAATAAAGGTCCAGTTCCGATAATATCGTCCATTTCTCTCCATTTGCGCTATGGCTCTTAGCAGGATTGTCGATCGAATGCCCCACACGATGTACCATAAAAATACCGCTCGTTACACCAAATTCGATTATAATAGAATCTGAAGGTGTATTCGTTGAGGAAGAACACTTTACGCTGCACTTTAGATAGCTTTTTGAGTAACATTAATTACTTGTTTAGTCCTAAATTGGTATAAATTGAGAGAAAGAGATTTATTCAAGGATTTGTACATGTCTACTTTAATTGATAAATACAGTTTTTTATAAAATTTAGTATTTGACTTATTATATAGGGTTAATCGAAGGGTTGTGGAATAATCGAAGTGGAATAAATTAGTGGTTTCAATTAATTGCACTTAAAATGTCTACCACTAATTTTGACGTTCTGAATGCTTACATTGAAATTAAAGGAAGAAACTTCTACGGTAATGCAAACCACTAATTTATTCCACTAATTACGAGGTTCTGAATGAAGCTTTATACTTTTTAGTTTACGATTATTCACAATATTTAAAAAACAAAATTAAAATTAATCGAATATCCTAGCAACAGCTTGCCTCAGTTGTATCTATAGAGAAAGCCTAATATCCTTGTATATACAGGGTGTCCCAAAAATAAGTGCAAGTATTTTAAAGGCTGGTAGATCTCGATAAAAGAAACATATTTTCTCTTTATCGTTTTTTAAATAAGTCCAAAATAACGGAGTTACTTTACTTTGAAAATTTCCAAAAAAAATTATTTTTTGCTAAAATTTTGAGAACCACTGGATCTTTTCTGGATTTTCTTTCCTGTAAATTTAATCTAATACCTATGTTGCCATATTATCAAGAAATTATGTGTTTTAACTAAAAACTAAAACATTTTAGAAAACCAAAATTCGAAGCTCAATTTTGGCATACAGGTTGATTCTAGGATGTAGAGGTTCGATAAGAAAGGATTTTTGGAAATTCCAGTTCCAAGGGGGTGAAACCACCCCTCAAATGTTACAATATTTTTTATTTAAAAAACGGTCAAGTTTCCGAAAAAACTTAAGCTTAAACACGTATATTTTTTTTTCCATACAGTCAGTATCCCTCCTCATAACGTGACCGAAATATTTAAGTACACGTGACTGTATAGAAGTTGAGAGGCGTTCTGTGATGTTCAGTTCTTGGATTATGGATTCATTGGTTCGCCGGGCAGTCCAGGGAATTCTGAGCATTCGTTGCCAACAGTACATCTCAGTTGCGTCAATTTTTTTCATTTCTGACTGTCTCATCGTCAAGGACTCGGAGCCATACATTAATATAGGAAATATTAGGCAGTGAACAAGCCTTTTTTTTAAGTGTTTAGATATGTTTTTGTCTCGCCATATCTTTAAGAGTTTTCGCACTGCCACTCTTATCATTTCACATCTTCTTCTTATTTCCCCTTATATATTGACTTACAACCTCAAAACGACCAATGCTCACTACATCAGGTTTGTTGTTGTTTTGCCTGTCGATAATCATAATTTTTGTTTTAGAGGGATTAATTTCAAGTCCAAGTTTCTCGCTTTCGTCTTTAACCAATTTTAGAAGCTGCAGTAACTCTTCCTCGTTTCCCGCTAGAAGGACCGTATCGTCTGCAAATCTGAGGTTGGTAATTTTGTGACCATTAATTGTTATCCCCCCTTGCCAATGTTCCAATGCCCTTCTCATGATATATTCAGTATATATATATTGAATAACTGAGAAGATAGTATGCACCCCTGCCTAACACCACAGGTAGGCTGGAAGTCTTCCGAAGTAACGTCATTGATGGTAATTCTACTTTTGGTATTTACATAGAGATTCTGGATCAATGAAATCAAATGAACAGGCACGCCCATTTCTTTAAGAACCATCCATAGTTTTGACCATTTGACTTTGTCAAAAGCTTTTCGATAGTCTATGAAAGAAATATAGAGCGGATTGTTAAATTCTCGGGCCTTTTCGATAATCTGACGGACATTCAAAATTTGTTCACGTGTTCCTCGACCTCTTCGTTAATGATATGAAGAAGAATCTTACTGGCATGTGAAATTAGCGCAATGGTACGAAAGTTGTCGCATTTGGCTGGAGATCCCTTTTTGTGGATGGTTATTATGGAACAATCGGTCCAATCTGATGGCCATTGGTGAGTATGCCATATCATATTACATGACTTGTGCAAGATGTCCACACCAAAATCTCCCGACGCTTTGAGCATTTCGGCCGTGATGTGATCTGGTCCCGGGGCTTTATGATGTTTTAGGTTTTTATTGCTGCTTCAATTTCCGATCTCAGTATGTCTGGTTCTTCATTAATTATATCACTGTGGAAAGAGCAACTAGGCTGAGGATCTTTTCTTTATACAGTGTTCCGCAGTATGTACGCCATCGTTCCACTATTTCGTTAATTTCGCTTTTAAGTTGTCCTCGATCGTCTTCTATTGCCCATGTTTTTGGCTTGAATTCTCTTGTGAGGTACTTTATCTTTTTAAATAGGTCCCCTGGTTGATTTGTGAAAGTGTGAGATTCTATTTCCTGGCATATTTTTTCATAGTAGTTGTTCTTGTCGATGGTGCAACTGTGTTTGATCTCTGTATTTATTTTTCTGTATTTATCTTTTTCATCTTGTGTTTTTATACCACTTTGCACTAATGTTCGTCTTTGTTCAATTTTTAGCAATGTGCTGTCAGAAATCCAATGTTTGTTTTTTTGTCTTTTGTTTAGTTGTCGAGAAGTGGCATTACTCAGACAATTTTTAAAGTCTATCCAAATCTGTTGGGGTTGGGTGTTCTCGTTAATGTTCCACGATGTTTTCAGTAGTTCTTGTTGGAAATGTGTTACGTCGGTGAATCTCCATCTGATTTGGTCTTGGTTTTCTTACAATATTTTTTAACTTTATACGAATCTTTGCTGTCAGTAACTTATGATCCGAGCCACATATTGCTCCGGGGTAAATCCGTACTGTCCTGAACGAGGTTCTCTATCTCGAGTTAGAGAGAATATAATCTATCTGGTTGCGTACTCTGTCTCCTGGACTATTCCATGTGTAGAGCCTTCGGATATGATGTTGAAATGTTGTGTTCATAATAGTTAGATTGTTTTCGATTGCAAAGTCAAGTAAGCGTTCACCCCGTTCATTTCTTACACCGATACCATATTTACCAACAATAGTTTTAATATGTTCGTTATCAGTTGTATCTCCAATTTTAGCATTGAAGTCGCCGGTTACTATGGTTAGCTCTTTGTTCGGAATGTTTTGGAGAGAACTTCTTAGGTCATGGTAGAAATGGTCGATGTCGACATCGCCCGAAGCAGCAGTCGGAGCATACACCTGAACAATATTTATTGGGTTTGGCCTAGAGTTTAATTTTAAGGCCATGATTCTGTCGCTTATAGCTTTAAAGTCCAAAACATATTTCTGTAATTTTTCGGATACAATGACTGCAACACCAGTATAATTTTGTTGATCGGCGCTTGAAAAGTAAACATAGTTATAATCCTTGACCTATCCAATGTGTCTCCGATAATCCTGCAATATCGATTTTATATCTGGACAGTTCCTTTTCCATAATTGCTAATTTCCCGGTATGAGTTTTAAGTCCTTGTACATTCCACGTAGCCACGCTCATGGTATTCCTCATTTGTATATATAATTTGTTGTTTGTAAGGCCAGTAGCTTCCTTATGTCCGCAAGAATCCTGGCCTTTGATATTCTTGCGGCCGGTAGCTGATTTACCACTACTTGACCCGGACTCAAGGTAGCGCCGGTTGTCAATCGGATTGCATGACGTTGTCCGAGGCCTATCGTCTTGCTTCATTACACATCATACTGACTGTCATGGGAAGATAATGCAGTGGATTCCCCTGCTTTACTGCATGGAAAGGATATAGGTAGGATATAATAGGAGGATGGATAGGACGATGGGATGGGTCATGATTTCTCTCAAGGAAATGGGAAGTGAGAGAAAATCAAGAGCTCGCATCGGCAGGGTTGCTAAGGCCCTGAAGTAGATCTACTCCCCACTGGGACTGCAGAGAGGTATCTACCTGCTACCGTTCTGCTTAAACTGCTTGACGTTTAAGCCCACGGCCACACAGAAAGCGTTTTTAGCGTTTTGCGTTTTTGCGTCCCAATGGTTTTTGTGACCATTAAATACATACAAAAGACGCGGCAGGTCTGCAGTTTCTATTAAGATGTCAATTAGTAACATCGCAAGCTCGTGGATTCCCGGCCCTTCCAACAATCAATCCTGTGAGAAAGAGATAGGCGAGATCGGCGCCGTTAGCGTTGAAGAGACGAAGATAAAAGATGCTGGGATTGAATTGTGGATGGGCCAGGGCATATATTCGGAGACAAACACAATCTACTGCTAGTGCCAGTGGTGTGTGTAAAAATAATAATTATTATTTGCCATTTATTTTACGAATTTTAGTTTATATGTGTATAATTTTTTTATGTTGTAGAGTCAGTCACTTAAGGATTTTATATATTAGTATAGATATAGAACGTCCGCCTGTGACGGGGTCTGATCTTAGAAAACGCTAAAGACGCTACAGAAAACAAACTGATTTGTTTTCATTTGCGTTTTTTGCGAGACACGCCAAACGCTACACGCTTTTGGTGTAGCCACTCCTATATAACACTGTTATTTTGTTTTAGTCGCTAAAGACGCTTCACGCTAAAAACGCAAAAAACGCTTTCTGTGTGGCCGTGGGCTAAAGCTGATTTTTGGTAAACGGATTGACTGTGGGGTGTAGAGGTTCGATAAGGAGGGGTTTCTCGAATCTCAAATTCCAAGAGGGTGAAAACACCCCTTTGAATTTTTTTAAAATCATACAGGGTGTACCATAAAGTTGGGTAATTGATTAACCACAATAATTCTGCTCCAGTTTGTATGTTAATAGAAATTCTTGCTTTGCTTTATCATCACCATTACAAATGATTAGTTCGACGCGAACGAAGTTGCAGATACACGCTAGTTTAGCTTATAAAACAGTCCACTTTTGATTTCTAACCACAATTTCTCTTAACGGAAGATAATCAAAGGCCAAAATGACATTTCTCGCAAATTTTGAAGAATAATTAGCGGAAATAGCTAAAAAATAGTTAAAGAATTGTAAAATGTAAATAATTAAATCATTTGAACCTTATGTTGACTTAAGACTTAAATCATCTTAATGTTAGAAATGACTTAAGACTTATTAAGTCTTTTTAAAACTGACTTATTGCAGCTCTGTTTACTATATCAAAGAATAATTATTTTGATAGCAACAAAAAATAATTTTTATTTTATTTTGGCACTATTCTCATTCTGGTTTCTCTGTTTCAGCTGGATGGGCGGTTGCACGTGGGCCGTCTGGATTACTCAGCCGGCGGTGTGGGGCGGAATATCTGCGAGGCGCTGGGGAAACTGGGTCGCAGTTCCCACTTTATCTCGGCCGTAGGGGACGATCAGCAAGGTAAACAAATCGAAGTCCGTGATATACGTGCTGATTTAATCGCGCTATTACAATATTTTTCTGCCGAAACGTTTGAAGGGTACATAATCGAAAAAGGGAATATCTTATTTTTTGCGGGCAAGATTTTAAATAAAACTTAATAATTGTTACTAACTGCATTAACAATTTAGAAATATCTACAGTGGTAAAGATGAAACTTCATGACATGAATTGATATGAACTTTTTTACCTATTTTTTTCCGCAGAATAAGTATACTGTCGAATTTTCCGGTTATAATTCAGACTACCCTGTACAGGGGGTCCCACTAAGAATAGCTCTCGGCTGTATCTCAGAAAGTATTAGCCGTAGGGCTTACGGAAAAAAGTATTTATAACTAAAGGGGCTATGAGAAATTGCTGGAAATTATTTTCAAGTTTGTGAAACGGCCGCTAGGGGGCGCAACTGCTATGAAAATTAAGAAAATAGAATGTTTACAGAATTTTGCCTAGATAATGGGTACTATAAATAATAGCTTCATAATCTTCAGTAAATTTTGAATTTTTCTTGTTAGAACCATTTGCCCCTATCTGCTAAAACAAAGTGGTGGGAGAAGGTTAGATCTATCTTTATTTAAATGTTAATAACTCCAGACTGGATGATCAGAATCAAACAAACGAGGGCACGTTTAAAAGAGCGTTTCTTACTCTATATTATACCATAAAAATATTAATAATAAGGTTTTGAACGTAGACGCTAGGGGGCGCTTTCTTACAATTTAACAAACATAGCGCGTTTTTTCAAAAAAAATAAATACGATACTATATGTAATTTTAGCTCGTAGTAAAGAGTACTAAAAGCTTAAAAAGTCAGTGAAAACCGGATGTTGATATCTGCTTTCAAACCGAACATATTAGCAAAATTATAATAAATACCAAAAAATAAGCCCTTAATTACCTTATTTTTACAACACGGTATCCGTAGCCCTCTTGATTATGCCCATTCTAACAAAAAAATAAAATAAAAACAGTTAGTTTATTTTAAATTCGACGAAATACCAGAATACCATAATACTAGATGTATTAATATCTAATATAATTAAGATATAAATAACAGTGAACAAGAAACGATGCCTCAGTGAAGTCATGGTAGGCTTTGGAAAAAAGTTGCTTTTGAAGTAATAGTATTATAAACATCAAATTGTTATTAGATCAATATTTTGATAGTCTTAGCAGCGTTTTTTATCTTTTAATTACTTTTTCAAAATGCCTTTATTATTTGAAGTAGTTCAAGTTGTTTGCATTTTGAAAAAGCAATCAAAAGATAAAAGACTATCAAAATGTTGATCTAATAACAATTTGACGTTTATACCATTACGTCAAAAGCAACTTTTTTCTCAAGCCTACCATGACTTCACTGAACCATCGTTTCTTGTTCGTTGTTATTAATTCTAATAACAATTTGACGTTTATACCATTACGTCAAAAGCAACTTTTTTCTCAAGCCTACCATGACTTCACTGAACCATCGTTTCTTGTTCGTTGTTATTAATACCTATCTTAATGATTAGATATTAATACATCTGGTATTATGGTATTCTGGTATTTCGTCGATTTTAAAATAAACTAACTGTTTCTATTTTTTTGTTAGAATGGGCATAACCAAGAGGGCTACTGATACCGTGTTGTAAAAATAAGGTAATTAAGGGCTTATTTTTTGGTATTTTTTATAATTTTGCTAATATCTTCCGTTTAAAAGAAGATATTAAGATGCGGTTTTCGCTGACTTTTTAAGCTTTTACTACTCTTAACTATCAGCTAAAATTACATATACTATCTTATTTAATTTTTTTGAAAAAACGAGCTCTGTTTGTTAAATTGTAAGAAAGAGCCCCCTAGCGTCTACGTTCAAAACCTTATTATTATTATTTTTACGGTATAATATATTTATTGGATTCTGATCATCCAGTCCGGAGTTATTAACATTTAAATAAAGATAGATCTAATCTTCCGCCACCACTTTATTTTAGCCGATAGGGGAAAATGGTTCTAACAAAAAAAATCCAAAATTTACTGAAGATTATGAAGCTATTATTTATAGTACCCCTTACCTAGGCAAAATTCTGTAAAAATTCTATTTTCTTATTTTCCATAGCAGTTACGTCCTCTAGCGACCGTTTTACAAACTTGAAAATAATTTCCAGCAATTTCTCATAGCCCTTTTAGTTATAAATATTTTTTTCCGTAGGCCCTACGGCTAATACTTTCCGAGATACAGCCGAGAGCTATTCTTAGTGGGACACCCGGTACATTAATAATAAACTATTTTGCCCAGAACGAACACCACCTAGAGGTAGGTGGTAATGCAAGAAACTCCTTCAATTTTGTATATTCTTTGTAATTATAAATAAACCAAATTAAAATTATAGTATGTATACAGGGTCCGGCAATAGTGCGTCGGGCATCTGTAAAATACTTGGAAATTTTGTTTAAGTGCAAACCTAAAGTATGTACGAGCAAAAAGGTAATTTCAATGGTAAAATACGAGAGAAAAAAAAACATTGGATGACTTTGATAAAAATTTACTGTGGCAAATGCCATATGAAATATAAAACCGCGAATATCTGCGAAACCGTTAAAAATTTTGAAAAAACTCTAAATACAAAAAATTTTCATTTTTAATTCTTCATCTATTAAAAAAAATAATATATAGGGAGTTTCATTTAAAAAAAAACGAAGAAAAATTATTTTAAATTTTTGAAAGTTTGGCGTAGAATTTTAAACATCCTGTATGATTTACGATTACCATATTAATAACAAAGTAAGTACAGACCATCTAAAGTAAATACCTAATATAGTTTTGATTTCAGGACAGTTTTTGTATTTTTAATAATATTTTTATGAAAGGCTGAAAAATATATATTTTTTATTTATTTGTTAATATCTCTGAAACTATCGAAATAGATTTATTCATAATATGTTAGAAATTTAAAATAAAGCATCCCGATCTACTGACACTTTTTTGAGCCACCCTATAGAAGTTAAAATATTTTCCTAAATTTACATCCTAGTACATACGTTAGGTTTACACTTCGACAAAATTCCCAATTTTTTGCGACGCATTATTGCCGGACCGTCGCAGGCGTATCGCACGGCATTGTGCAAAAAGACTAAGCACATTATAAAAGGTCGGCGTTTTTAATAAAAAAAGGATATTTTACAGAAAGCCTATCTGTTTTCAGTCACTTTGCAAAATACCTAATGAAGACTTAGTCTTCAAGACTAGTCAGATTACACAAAATATTTTATTTGTATAGGAAATTACCGGTGGCGCCCTCTACAAATAGGAGTATTGACATCAAAATCCAAATTTATCATATCAAAAAACTCCCAAACACCAATTTTCATCCAAATATTAGCGTTACTTCAGAAATTATTTGGAAAATATCGGAATAAAAATGAAACTTCTACACCCTGTATCTCCAAGACTAAGCATTTTATAATTACTATTAATAACATTTATACAAACTTTTTTACTTATTTTTATCTGCAGAATATCCTGCAGAAGTTTCCGAAATACAGTTCGGTCCACCATGTATATCTCCTATTACGAGTAATTTTCTTTTCAGGTCGTATCTTAACAAGAAATATACCAAAAGAATCATCAAAATTCATCAAAGTATTTCCTGGACGTCATTCTGCTCAGTGTATAGTTGTTTTAGACAAAAATGGCAATTGTTCATTTTTGATGGGAGATATGTCGATACACAAATTAATTACTCCTGAAGTGGTAAGTTGTGTGTATTTTTTTAAATTTTAAGTATAGATATCTACACTTAAAAATTATGAGATCATTGTAAAACTAAGGCAGTTATTTTAGTTGGTGTCTAAGGAAGCACATATAACTTTGTTAGAAATTGTATCTAATCAATTACCTATCAGCATTTATAGTGCATGACCGTATCAATATTTGACATCTTTATTTCTGTAATAATTATAATAACTTGGCAATTGCTCGGCAAAATATTCTACTTATTAAAATTCTTTATTATAGTGGCGTGCGAACGTCACGTCTGTATAATTATTATAGAAATAAAACTTAAAATTGCTGGAAAGTGGCGGAAATCCTCGGTTCTACTGAGCCATCAAAAGCTGAAAATAGCTACTAACTGTCACTAGAAACGACATCAATCCTCTTGGTTGCCATTTAATTGAAAACTTGCTATTTATTCAAAATCTGAGCTTGATAGATATAGAAAACCCTAATATAATTATTTGAAAGAGCATTTGAATCTTCTTCGATTTATTTAAAAAAACAGGGTGTTTTATTTGAAATAACGAAGTTTTTACGTAAAAAAATTGGCGCCGGGAGGCACGTATAGCCGCCCATACTAAAATATGTTAATATCTCAAAAACTGCGACTTTGACTGATTTTGATGTTATTACAAATTTTGTTGCAAATATTATTCCTAATCTTAATTTGAAAACCGCGTTTCGCTAGCTACTGTAATTTTGGAGTTACGATTTTTTTAAATTTATAACCCCCTCCTATACCCCCTTACCAACCCCCCACGCCCACCAAAAACTAATGGCCAGATTCTCGGGTGCCACAGTATTTTTGTGCCAAATTTGGTTAAAATCGGTTCAGCGGTTTTTGAGTTATCGTGTTACAGACGGACAGACGGACGGACAGACAGACAGACAGACACCACGAAAATATTTTGTATTTAGGTCATTTATGACCCATATAACTCATTTTGAGTGAAATTAAAAAAACTTTTTTTTGCCGATCCTAATAGCCTACCATACCTATTGGTATGGTTGGCTAATAAATATTTAAAATAGACCAGCAATTTTTGAAACCCCTGTATACATTAAACGAAGCAATCAAATTTTTCAGTAAAGTTTATTTCTCTGGCTTAAAAGTCAGCACAAGAATTAATTCTGAAAAGCAATATAAAAATATACAGGGTGTTGACAATTTCTTTTATTATAGCATGCATATTTAAATATCTCAAAAACCCAAACTTGTAAACATTTATAATACCTATATACAGGGTGTTTCAAAACAAATTCGAAAAACTTCAGGGGGTGATTCCTTGTTCAAAATAAAGGGTAGTTTGATTTATAAACGTTGGGTCAAAAGTCAACCATTAGGGAGATATCGCGGTACAAAGATGGCGGAAAAATAATGTTTTTATTCTTTATCTTGACAACGAAAAACGATAGACTAATGAAATTTTATGGAAAATAAAAAAAATATATATATTAAAAAAAAAGCTTATCAAACACATGCAAAAAAATTAATTTGGGTAGTTTAGTTTGTTTAGAAACTTTTTTATCTCTTGTGTTTTTTTGATAAAACTCACCGATTTGAAATTCAAAAATAAAATTTAAAGCATTACATATCAGGACACAAAACATTTTTAGATAAAGAATCTAGTGGGCTGCTCTAATTTTTTTAGGAAAAAATCTAGTCGGCCTCTGTCACTTTTTAGGATGTTTCTAATATTATTTTATTGACATTACTCTACTGCAATACGTTATTATCTAGATTCTTATTATTATCGTTATTATCACTAGATTCTTTATCTAAAAATGTTTTTGATCCTGACATGTAATGCTTTACATGTTATTTTTTAATTTCAAATCGGCGAGTTTTATCAAAGAACCACAAGAGATAAAAAAAAGTTTCTAAATAAACCAAGCTATCCAAATCAATTTTTTTGCATGTGTTTGATAAGATTTTTCTTTAAATTTTGTTAACAAGAATGATAAGGGTAGTTTATTTCAACCCCTTCCACTCATTTTAAAAAAGTGAAAAAATTACCAGAAAGTGTGTTTTCGTAACAGTAATGCTCCCATAAAATTTCATTAGACTATCTCTTTTCGTTTTCAAGATAAAAAATAAAAACATTATTTTTCCGCAATCTTTGTACCGCGATATCTCCCTAATGGTTGACTTTTGACCCAACGTTTATGAAGCAAACTACCCTTTATTTTGAACAAGGAATCGCCCCCTGAAGTTTTTCGCATTTGTTTTGAAACACCCTGTATATACCTTGTAAACCCTTATAATACAACCTAAAATTTTATTAATTCTTTGCACATCATTTGCTGATGATGCTAACAGGCCGAAACATGCATCCAGTGTTAAAAGTAAAGATATTTGGTGAATTGTGGGCGAACTAGTGTTTTATTTTGCTGTTGTAACACTAGAGGTTTCAACCCCACCTGTATTAAAGAAGGTAGATATGTAATGTATATCGCGTATTGTAATTATTTTTTTTTGCTCTTAGATTGAACAACATGAGAATATTATCAAGAAAAGCCCATTAATAGTTCTTGATGGAAATATATCTGAAGCGGGAATGGATAAAGCTTTGGAAATGGCTCATACACACAAAATACCAGGTAGGAATAGTATATTATTTAAATAAACAACAACAAAATTATTTATTCTCTATTTATTTAATAATTTATTGATATAGGGTTTTAAGAGTCCATTTCACTAATCCGAAAAAGTAGCAAAATAAGCATTCGGCCATTTAACGTAAAACTGACTAGGTATTTCTACACCAAATGAAGAAGGAAATTAAAGATAAAGGTTTATACTATATCAGTATGGTAGTACATTTTGAGACAACTTTCTTTATTTTTAAGATTTTGATGGTCAAGCATCAACAAAATATTCCTTATGTATGGACTAAATTTTCACGAAAATAAAGAAATAATTTAAAATTCCGTTACAATACGGAAATAGACTGAAGTTTTGTGATTACAGTGATATATAATTTATATGGTTTGGTTTTGTAACAAATTGCTCGCAATTTTATGGCAAATGCTGAAGCTCTGCAAACCTTAATCAAGCCTTAATCAAAGCACGTGTGTTTAGAATCTTGGGTGTGGCTTAACACGACAGGGTCGGGCTAAGCCTTAGGCAGATTTCTGAAATATAATACAGGGTGGCCCATCGAAAACGTTCCGCAAGGCATAACGGCCAGGGTATTTTTTTTTCAGAAAATTCAAAAACACGTCAATTTTGTTTGTGAGGGGGACAACTTTTGCCCCAAAAATGATTGCAAAATCTTCAACCCTCTAAGCGGGGGTGTCATCCCCCAACTTTTTTCAAATGGGAAGGGGGGTCAAGTGGTACAGCAATGAAAAGGGCTTTTTATTCTCTATACTTTCCCGCTTCGTTTTTGAAAATCGGAAAAGGATTGAAATTTGAAAAGTTTATTTAAACATTTATCAGAGTAAATGATAAGGATAAATTCCTTCGACCAATTTGCTGTTTTTTCTTATTATTTCTAGATGTTTACGCATTTTTTCACTTGCCACAAGGTTGAACCATCAGGTGCGGCAGTTGCTAGATAGCTGTTCTGTGACTTGTGCGTTGAAGTTCTTCTCAATATCGTTAAACTGACCTAAAATAGAATTTCCAAAAAATTGTATATTTTGAAAAAAAAAACTGTATATTTCCTTCGGCCACATACCCGCTTTACCCGACCCCTAAGAGCGACTCGAAAGTACCGCAAATAGACTCTTAAATAAGTGCAAATACTTTTAGGAGTAGCATATTTGACCAATTGGCGTAACTACAGTGGTGCCCGGGGTGCCGCCCCCCCCCCAGGTATATCTGGGCACCCCCCAGAAAATTCTTCAATTATGACTCTTGGCTACGTATTAATTTTTATTTGCTTGTAATGTAGTAAAAATGACGTTTTCTAGTTTTGTTTAGTTAATATTATTTTATTTTATAAAATTAACACAAAAAATGTGTTAATTTTTATTTTTTTAGAAAATTTGTAGGTATTTAAGTAATCTACGGGAACACGGTTTGATAACCAAGCCTATGAAATTTATTGAGAGAAATTCATGTAAACGTTTTATTCAAAAAATGTGTTTTTTAAAATTATTTTTCATTTGTAAAAAAATAAAAGGCCTAAGCCCCCCCTAGGCTCAACCCCAGCCCTCCCACCCCCCACCCAGGATGAATTGCTAGTTACGCTAGTTACGTTAAAAACATAATTCCTTGATAATATCACAAACCAGGCAGAAGATTAAATTTAAAAGAAAGAAAACCCAGAGAAAATTCAGTGGCTCTCAAAATTTAAGAGAAAAATCGTTTTATTTTCAAATTTTTAAAGTAAAATAACTCGGTTATTTTGAACTTCATTTGAAAAACAGTAACGAAAAAATAAGTCTCTTCTGTGGAGATCTACCAGCCTTGAAAATAATTGCAGTTATATAAGACCCACCCTGTATAAACTACTGTAACAACATTACTTTTTAAAAATTGTCTTCGAATAACATAAAATAGAGTGGGTATTAAATCTAAAAATAGCAATTAATCTATTTAAATATGTATCTATCAAAATTTTTATTCAAAATTTACTTGTGTAGCATGTAGTACTCGTAAAAATCTGCCTCATCATCAGCGTCTACTTTTGATATTGGATATTAACGGTCAGTGTTGTAATTATTAAATTGCATAAGAACTACCTGCAAATTTTTTTAGTGAGAACCGCGGACTAAAGAGATATTTGTGTAACTTTAATCCCCCGTTACAGGATTACAGTTCTTTTTATTCACCAATGATATAAATGACAAAATGGCGAAGGTACAAATTTTTACAATAACTGCTGCACAATTAAATATACATATATTTGGATTAGTGTACTGCCGTGGTAAATATGGAACTTTTACATTACCCGTTCGTAAGTATTTTAGTGCCATAGAAATTTGAATCTTTTAGATAGAGGTTATTTCAAGCAAGGTTTCAAGATATACTTACTTTTTTTATTATTTTTATTTCACTAGTGAAAAGGTTTTTCAATTCGTTACTTTTTAACTATACATGTTCCTATACCTAAAATAAATAGTTTTTAAGTTACTTAGGATTTAGTTTGAAAACGTATATTTTTTTTGATTTTATCTACCTTCCTTTGACGTTAAGTGTCAAACAGCCAGACCATTTGTTTTCATCTGTCAGAAAACGAATTATTTGAATTTCCTACATTATAAGACCGCCTGCTTAAGAGTTTAAAAAGTGTATTTATAAAAATATTAGCGTGTACCCGCGACTTCGTTCACGTCGAATTAATCATTTATAATGGTGATGATAAAGCAAAGCAAGAATTTCCATTAACATACAAAGTAGATAAAATGTTCTCAACGAGTTTTTGCAGCGTTCGTCTAATAAACATATTTTTGTTTAAACGCTCTCTCTAAATTTGCGAAAAATTTTGAAATGTGTAAAAAAAATTATATAGAAAACTTGGTAATATTTGAGGGGTAGTTTCATCTCGTTGGAATTTGACTTTCGAAAAATCCGTTTGCCAAAAATAAGCTTTTTACGTCAAGCAGTTTAAGCAGAATCGTGGTTAATCAATTACCCAACTTTTTGGAACACCCTGTATAATTTTTTAAAAAAAACAAAATATTATGCGTGTCCAAGCGTTTTTCCGAAAGACTAACCCTTTTTTAAATAACAAATATTGTAATATTTGAGGGACGTTTTCACCCTCTTGGAATTTCAGATTCGAGAAACCCCTCCTTATCGAACCTCTACACCCCACAGTCAATCCGTTTTCCAAAAATCAGCTTTTTACGTCAAGCGCTTTAAGCAGGATCGTGATTAATCAATGACCAGATTTTTCGAAACACCCTGTATACATTTAAAAAAATCTTAAAATATGTAAAAAGCAAAATAAAATATACGTCTTTAAGCGTTTTTTCGGAAACTTGGCCGTTTTGTAAATAAAAAATATTGTAATATTTGAGGGGTGGTTGCACCCCCTTGGGACTGGAATTTCGAAAATTCCTTCTTATCGAACCTCTACACCCTAAAATCAACCTGTATGCCAAAATTGAGCTTCTTACGTTGAGTGGTTTGAGCAGGATCGTGATTAATCAGTGAGTCGGTCACTTAAGGATTTTATATATTAGTATAAATATCTGGTTTTCGCACTTTAGTGATATTTAATAGTTGATATTAATAATATACCGTATGATCGAAAAAAACAGCGCAAAGTTCGCTTGTAATGATGATCGATAACATACTGCTTTTTCAACAAAGTGTCACAATATGACATGGCCAGATTATATTGTTTTGCATCACTTGACGTTTAAAGTCATTGGCTACTTGTTAAAATCAAGAAAAATATACGCTTTAAAACTAATTCTTTAATAACGTAAAAATGATTTATTTTAAGTATAGGAACACGCATAGTCAAAAATGAAATGAAAAGCCTTTTCACTAGTGAACTAAAAAAAGTGGGTTTCCACTTGAAAATAAATGATTTATGATAATTTTTTAATAATAATAATAATAATAAGCTTTATTCATAACTATATGGAGATACATTATGAAAGGGCGAAAGTGCAGTCTTCTAACCAGACTGTTTTTACACTCAACCCAAAAAAAATAACAAAAAATATATACATATATACATATACACACGCCTTATCAATAAAAATCTAAATCAAAATAGTTATTAAATTATTTTCTAACAATGCCAAAATCTGCTAAACAAAAATTATATTTTTTTTCGACATTAATGTAAAATGCATAAAACACCTTGTTTTCATATCAAGCCATCCTACTTCTTTTAGCTTATACGAAACGGGTTGTTGTCTTTTAATTCCGTAAGTAAAACGTAAACAATATTTTTGGATTTTTTGTATCCGTCCCGAATCAAAAGCGGTAAGGCAAGGTCCATAAACTACATTGCAATAATTAAACTTTGATCGCTCAATTCCATGACAGCTGCGGCGGCCATTATTAATTATTATATGACATTCGAACAATTTAATGTTTGAAATAGATAGCTACATGGGCTACATGTCTTCTCTTTATAGCATAGTGGCTGTGGTAATTAATATTATTAAGGAATCAAGAGAGATGACACATATTTATTGAAACACCCTGTGTAGTCAAGTATTTGACTAAAGAAAGACACAAAATTCTAAAGAACAAATTTATTTGATTAAAGCAGGCAATCAACGTATCAAAACTTAATAATTAAACAGATCTAATAAAAATCCATAAGTTCAAAATAAAGTTTAAATATAAAACATACAAAAAATGGATGGAATATCAAAAAATACTAATTAGAACAAATAAATCAATAGTATCACTAAACTATGAGATTCAAAATAATTTCGTGTTTAAAAAATTTAAGAACCACATAAGAACACTTTTTATTCTAAAAAGCTTATTTTTATGAGGCCCAAAGTATTAACAAAGTAACAATATCTATGTGAATCAACAGTTTTTTGTAATTCAAATGTTATAAAGCTATGATATAAGTTCTATCCTAGCGATTTAGCGCCACGTCAGTCAATAGGTACATGTCAATATCTATACAATATCTTGGGTAACTTTAATCCAGATACAGAGATAATGTTACTTAGATACTTTATCCAGATAATTTAATCCAGATACAGAGATAATGTTACTTTGTTATTATTACTTTTATGCCTCACAGTAGATATTTATTAGTGATATGCAATTAATAATGTATTTTTAATTATAGTCACTCTATTCGTTTCATACTTAATATCTTTAAAAAATTAAGTTAATTTTTTTATAGAAAAATAATATTTGGATTTAGAACTCTATATAATTTGTTTTTCTTATTTTAACGCACTCTTATAAGATATAAATTGTGAATATACTACTATTTTTATAAAACCTTAATATATCCAAAGACATCTAAATAAAGAGCAGAGAAAACGCTCCGTTCATAAAACTCTATTTGTTTACAAATCATACATACTTTTAACACTTTTAGGAGTTAAAAAGATATGGGTATATAAATGTGGCAACGCTGTTGAGTTTCGTGTGCAGATCTGTCTTTTCGGTCTACAAGTGGCGTGCTGTTTTTTCATCAACAATCGTAAAACGTAATTTTAATTTAAATTTTGATTTAGAAGTATACAGGGTGGTCCGAACTGCATTCCGGAAACTTCGGCAGCATATTTTGCAGATAAAAATAAGTAAAAAAGTTCGTATAAATGTATGTCCTAAAATGCTTAGTTTTGGAGATACAGGGTGTAGAAACTTCATTTTTATTTCGATTTTTTCCAAATAATTTCTGAAGTAACGTCAATATTTGGATGAAAATTGGTGTCTGGTAGTTTTTTGACATGAGAAATTTGATTTTGATGTCAATATGACTCCTATTTACTCATAGGAGTAAACGTTACTTCAGAAATTATTTGGAAAAAAATCGAAATAAAAATTAAACTCCTACACCCTGTATATCCGAAACTAAGCATTTTAGAACATACATTTATACGAACTTTTTTACTTATTTTTATCTAAAGAATATTCTACCGAAGTTTCCGAAATACAGTTCGGACCACCCTGTATATTGTAGTGTAATATAATAATTATTTCTCTATTATAGTACATGAGAATTCAAGATGTGGAAGTCCATAAAAATATAGGGTTACGGTTAAAGTAGTAAAGTACTTTAGCGTTTTTAAAGCGGGAGCATGTGCACTTTAACTTTAAAGCGACTTTAAACCTTAAAGTTTAATTATGGAACGCAATTTTAAATTTAAAGTTCCTTTAAGATTTTAAAGTACTTTATATTTTATTATGAAACTGGGCGTTAGATATTTAAAATTTAAAAATACTTTAAACAGTTCTTTTGCACAGAAAAACAGTAAAAATTACTTTAAAGTTCACAACACCGCCCAGCAACACTGTTAAATATAACTTGAATGGATCCGTCAAACTTTTACTATTCAGTGTAACAAACAAAACACCATAAAACCATAGAAACCAAGCAGTCATCCTGAAGCAGCGTTGTCACAGTTACTTCCCTGATAAATTTTAATTCAATTTAATTAGAAAACTAAATCGATTTTAAAGATATGTATTTTAAATAAAATTGTGTACCTACACATATATTTAGTACGCTGTTTCTATAGGTATCCAAAAAAAATCATTAACAACAATAACATATTTCGTTTTCAAACACAAGTCGTAGATCTAACGCAATCCGCAGAAGTCTGTCATCATCGCATTCTGTTGAAAACGATGTTTGATCGCGATAAAATGTAAATAGTCTCCTTTTATTTAGATGTCTTTGAATATAACCATATATTCCACAGTGAAAATAGTGTGCCACTAAATTGACTTAAATCACATATGATTAAAAACTCTTTCAAGTTATGTATATTTTAGAAACTTACGGTTAACACGTTCTCTAAAACTAAATATCTTTTTTGTGAGTACGATACTAAATATCACACCAAAACCATACATTCAAAAATATCAGTTCAAAAAATACTAATTTATTAGTAGGAAGGCCATCCTAGACGGTGTTGTGGATTAGGCTGCATTTGCATAATTAGGTTTTTGGATTCGCGCCGTCTATCGTAGCTCAACCTTGCTTCTTTATATAGGAAGAAAGCGGCAAAACTGTGGAAGAAGAACGAGAGGCAAGCGAATCCGTACGACCAACACAGATAGTTGAAGTTGGGGTACATTAACCAGTCGCGTCGGACATGCGAACCTCCGAAAACAGCTATGGCAAAGAACATAAAAACTCCTGAAAAATAAAAACAAAGTGTTGAATAATAATAACAAATAAACATAACATAATGTGGAAAAATATTACTGAGTTGATGCATAGAAAAGGTTGATGCATAAGCAGCATCATACCCAATAAAAAATAAAAGCATTTTGACATATATTTGATACCAATTCAGTTACGTAATCGAGGGCGCGATTTTTAAATTAATTTTGCCAATCATGGGCATATTCGACGGCGGGCTGACTAACTGAAATTTAAATTTCCCGCTGGGGATTCAGGTGGTAGCTCTGCCAGTGGCGGCTCGTGATCCGTGTGACTGGGTAGGCGACAAAATTTTAGTTGCGTCTTATTTACCCCCCCCCCCCTAATTTACATAATACCTTAGCCCAGTTTGTAAATATATGTTATCTCTGGGTTAAAAACATTGCTCAAAAATATTTAGGACAAAACTAAAGCAAAAATAACAGCATTCAACGTAATGACATAATGATTGACATAATGTATAAGTATAGTTTTTATTAATCTATTTTATCTATTATTTTTTTATCTATTACTATGGAGTCACTATGGAGTACATCATAGAATTTTATTTTATTTTTATTTATTTACGCAAACTTAAAAATTGGTAGTATGGAGAGAAAGAATAATTATGTTTTATATATTAAATTGATGAGTCGGTCTCTTAATAAAGACAAGTTATTTATTATTATATCAGTAAAATCATCAGATTGTAGAAGAGCTGTGAAAAGATCTTTTTAGATTGAAAGTAAGGCAAGTGACGATAAACGTATATTTTTCATGGAATCTCTACTATAAATTTTAATGCATTTCAAACATGAAAAATGTCTCTCAACCCAAGTACCGTATGATCGAATAAAAACGGCGTCAGAGATAGCTATGAAATGAAGACCGCGGTCATTTTATATGTAAATTTATATGGGAAATGTCATCGATTGTCATTTCATAGCCATCGCTGACGCCGTTTTTATTCGATCATATGGTAGGTACTTGTAAATGTTGTAGTAACAAACAAAACAAACAATTTCAAAGCCTCTGGAAATATATTTCCAGGATTATTCTCCTTAAATTATTTTATAATCGAAATTATCATATCTATTATTAATACCTGCAATTTATTCATTAATTTACGTTGGTCAATAACATCTTTTGTTTGTTAAATCACTATTAAATGCGTTGAAAATGTATCCATATAACAAGTTTGTCAAATTATGCGTGCAAAAAATGCGTTGGAAAATTTTTATAGGATTCTTTAAATTTCGGATCCGCAAGAGATAAATAAAAATAATTGAGACATACGAGTACCTATCTGCAAACCGTATTTCTAAATGTATAACAATAACAAGTTGTTAGGTATCTAATATTTCATAAAATAAAATTCGCAAATATATTTGACTTAACCGCTTTTATTAACATATCGAATTGAAATAGCACACTGAGACTTTTCTGTAATATCTGTTGTATCATCTTCTTGCTTCTTGCACCAAATAAAATAACGCGCTTTTATATTTCGGATTCTTTTATTTCTGTGGCGTGTTCTGAAATCCAACCGGTTATATCATTTTGAATAATTCGAAAATTGAATAAGCCCGAAAAATGTTTCCAATTTGCTTTAAACGTTTTTTGAATTTTCATATAAAAGTTTTAAATGTTACGTATAATGAATCATATGAAATATCCCCTTATCGAAATGTGATATATCCCCTTATGAAATATCGGGAATATCCCCTTCACTTCTAAGCCTACCGAGCCTCCACGACTTCATGCGAAGGCAACCGGAGATTTCGCCTAAGCCCCGCCTTAATACGCTACAACTCCGACTTACGTTGCGTCGCTACCGCACGATGAGTTAGACAGAGACAAAAGACTGTCGTACGTCGTGCATCGACTCTGATAGTAGGCGATGCAGAAATCGCCGAACAAAGGCACTCCAACGGTCAAAATTATTTTGTTTTCTAACGCAGCGGCACAGTGAGCGTACGCCAGCGATAGTGAATATTTTAATATACAAGACCACAAATATTAAAATAATATTGATTATTAAAACACACTTCCGTGTATTAACAGTATTTTTATGTATTGGCAACATTAATAGTAAATAATGTAATGTAATAAACCGCTTAAATTCTGCCAAAATTTTAGGGTAGCCGCCGCCTACCCTGACGAGCCGCCACTGAGTCGTCGAACATTGTTCTTTTTAGAACCTCTTTTAATGCGAGGTGTACAGGGTGGACCATTTTGATTGTTTCTATAGGGTATCTAGGAATCCGTGAGAAATATTCAAATTTTGATACTGCACTCTCGGGTTCTTTTTTTGAAAAAATTACAATGGCGCAAACGGATCGTGGCTATCTTGATCGGTTTCGAAGCTACAGGGGGATTCTCAAATTTTGTACTTTTTGAAGATGTTCGATGGTTTGTTTATTTCAACAACCACAGAAAAATGAATTATACATTCTAAAGGCACTTTTCTGTGTAGAATGCAGTGGCGTAGTCAGACTTTTTTCGAAAAAAATATTTTTTGAGATATTAACTATACTTATGTTTTTTTAAATAATTAGTTTAAATAATTCTTTTTAAAATTTCTTATTCAGCTTGGCATGGGCTTCTCGAAAATATATAACTCTCTATATTTATTTTCACTATTAACAACATTTCAAATTTTTCTTAAAATATCCACTTACTAAATAGTAGGCCGCGCCGAGGAACAAAGTAAACGGTTGTCATGGTGATCGGAACATACCTTTGATGGATGTGGAACAATTCATTTCAACAGATTGAAGTGTGTGTATTTTAAATAATAAAAAAATGAGTAAATTTGAAAATTTTGAGGAATATAATATCACAGATAACACATAATCCAGATGGCTCCTTACGTGTTAAAAATTGTCACCCTAATTTCACTCCAATTTGGAAAAATATTGGAGTGACGTTTGAATAATCTGAAATTTTTAGATTTCTTTTCTCACTTTTTTGGGAGGTTTTGCTTCTCTTGCACAGATGTCGCTTGCACTTCAGTTGCGTGGTTGCCAAACGTTATTCGAAATATATTTCATTTCATTATGAATATATAAAATTAAAGGTATACAAAATTAAAAGATTATGTAATTTATAAACATGAAATAGATATGTTAAATTAATATATAAATATTTAACTTAATACGTTCATTATTATTTTATTAATCTATCGTCACACGTCATTTACCAGTTCCCTAATTGCGAAAAGTTTCATATGACATTAACCTCAAAAATGATCTTTGAAAACAAACAACAACAAACAGAGCAAGAAATGAACAAATAACTACATAATGACTGATAATGATAAGTGATAATAATAACTTTAATGATATGAAGGCTGATGAAGGTAATTATAAACATTATTTTGAGTTTGTTTAATAAAATATAGGATACAATATAACTAAGCAAAATCAAACAGTTTTAGACAACCAATACAAGATTTAAAACTTGACATCGTGATAAACAAATTGTACAGGGACATCATTTTAAGTGTCTCACCCAATTTAAAATTTTCCTGTTACCTATTTGAAGATAGTAAAAATACATTTTAACGTAATTTCTCGTGAGGATGCCGATTTTTATCTGAAAATTTTTAAAACGTCAATTTTGACAGATACGACGCCATCTTGATTTTTTTAAATGGAAACCCCTACATATTTTAGCACTTTCCGGTAGACATATTTTAGCTAATTTCAAAAATATATAGTTTAGTATACTTTGCGCTTACCGTTTTCGATATACAGTGGATTTAAAAATGAATTGTTCCAGAATCATTTTAAGTGTCTCACCCAATTTAAAATTTTCCTGTTACCTATTTGAAGATAGTAAAAATACATTTTAACGTAATTTCTCGTGAGGA